CTTGAGCGTGGCGATGACCCCATCCATGGCAGGCAACACCTCATCCTTCACTGCTGCTGTGTGCCACACCTGCCCATGCAAGCTACCTACCTGCTAGTGCGTGCTCGTTGAACCAAACCCCACAAACAGCAGCCCCTCACCTGCCCATGGGTGCGCGACAGCATGGGTTGCTCCGCATACTTATGTGCCATGGCCTTGAGCGTGGCGATGACCCCATCCATGGCGGGCAGCACCTCATCCTTCACGGCGGCCGACAGCATGAGGCCGTGCGAGAGGTTGTTGATGTCCTCTGACGTGCACGCGAAGTGGAAAAACTCGAGAATCTGCATGTGGGGAGGAAGACGGAGGAAGAGGGAGGAGAGGGGAGGAGATGAAGCGGAAAGGAAAGGGGTTGAGACCGTGTGAGAGGTTGTTGATGTCCTCTGACGTGCATGCGCAGTGGAATGACTGGAGGATCTGCACGTGGGGGTGTGTGGGGAGGAAAAGGGCGAAGAGGGTAGGAGGGGAAGAAAGTACTCCGCCTTCATTTCACACAGTGGCAGTTGGTCACTGTGTGTGGCAGTTGGTCACTGTGTGTGGCAGTTGGTCACTGTGTGTGGCAGTTGGTCACTGTGTGTGGCAGTTGGTCACTGTGTGTGGCAGTTGGTCACTGTGTGTGGCAGTTGGTCACTGTGTGTGGCAGTTGGTCACTGTGTGTGGCAGTTGGTCACTGTGTGTGGCAGTTGGTCACTGTGTGTGGCAGTTGGTCACTGTGTGTGGCAGTTGGTCACTGTGTGTGGCAGTTGGTCACTGTGTGTGGCAGTTGGTCACTGTGTGTGGCAGTTGGTCACTGTGTGTGGCAGTTGGTCACTGTGTGTGGCAGTTGGTCACTGTGTGTGGCAGTTGGTCACTGTGTGTGGCAGTTGGTCACTGTGTGTGGCAGTTGGTCACTGTGTGTGGCAGTTGGTCACTGTGTGTGGCAGTTGGTCACTGTGTGTGGCAGTTGGTCACTGTGTGTGGCAGTTGGTCACTGTGTGTGGCAGTTGGTCACTGTGTGTGGCAGTTGGTCACTGTGTGTGGCAGTTGGTCACTGTGTGTGGCAGTTGGTCACTGTGTGTGGCAGTTGGTCACTGTGTGTGGCAGTTGGTCACTGTGTGTGGCAGTTGGTCACTGTGTGTGGCAGTTGGTCACTGTGTGTGGCAGTTGGTCACTGTGTGTGGCAGTTGGTCACTGTGTGTGGCAGTTGGTCACTGTGTGTGGCAGTTGGTCACTGTGTGTGGCAGTTGGTCACTGTGTGTGGCAGTTGGTCACTGTGTGTGGCAGTTGGTCACTGTGTGTGGCAGTTGGTCACTGTGTGTGGCAGTTGGTCACTGTGTGTGGCAGTTGGTCACTGTGTGTGGCAGTTGGTCACTGTGTGTGGCAGTTGGTCACTGTGTGTGGCAGTTGGTCACTGTGTGTGGCAGTTGGTCACTGTGTGTGGCAGTTGGTCACTGTGTGTGGCAGTTGGTCACTGTGTGTGGCAGTTGGTCACTGTGTGTGGCAGTTGGTCACTGTGTGTGGCAGTTGGTCACTGTGTGTGGCAGTTGGTCACTGTGTGTGGCAGTTGGTCACTGTGTGTGGCAGTTGGTCACTGTGTGTGGCAGTTGGTCACTGTGTGTGGCAGTTGGTCACTGTGTGTGGCAGTTGGTCACTGTGTGTGGCAGTTGGTCACTGTGTGTGGCAGTTGGTCACTGTGTGTGGCAGTTGGTCACTGTGTGTGGCAGTTGGTCACTGTGTGTGGCAGTTGGTCACTGTGTGTGGCAGTTGGTCACTGTGTGTGGCAGTTGGTCACTGTGTGTGGCAATGCAGAGCGCACGTTCCACCGAATCATACTGCCCTCGCCCCTCCACTGCCCTCGCCCCTCCACTGCCCTCCCCACTCACCCGCCTGCTGCCCTGCCCGCCGCTGCCCTGCTCCCCCACTACACTGCCCACTCACCGGGCTAATTTCCGGGTGGTCCTGGAAGCGGGCTTTAAGGAAATATTCCACCGCCTTCACATTCACATCACACCACACCACACCACACCACACCACACTGTGATGGCTGGTCCCTGCAATGCACGCCTCCCACAAGCCCTCGCCCACCTCCCACCTCCACTGCACTGGCCACTGGTCACTCACCGGGCTGATCTCGGGGTGGTCCTGGAAGCGGGATTTAAGGAAATACTCCACCGCCTTCACATCGTGGTTGGTTGTCGCCTCCACCCGCTTCACCTCCCGTGCGTCCGCCTCGCTGAACCCTGCAGCACCGCACACCACCCCACGCCACCGCAATAGAATTGTCAAGTCAACCGATTCGAAGTTGCTCTTTAGGATCACCTCACCTCACCTCACCTCACCTCACCTCACCTCACCTCACCTCACCTCTTGAACATCCGCCTTACAGAACTGCCCTTTTTGCAGCTCGGTAGTTAAACTTCTCACAAACGAACAACCTGCAAAAAAAAAAAAAAAAGTCGCTCCTTTGCCTGGAAGGGGGAAAAGAGGGTGGGACGGAGGGGGTTGCCTTGCAGCAAAGCACACCAAACCACCCAAACCACGTGCCACTCCCCTTGCCTCTCACACCCACCCACCTGTAACAACAGCGTTCAGGTCAGCATCCGCCCGGGGGGAGGGAGAGAGTAGCAAGCACGCCAAGTAGCCGCTCCTTATTCCCATCCCAGCTCACCCTACCTGCCGGCCACTCCCCTCTCTCTCCTCCTCGCCCCACCCCACCCACCTGTCACAACAGCATCCAATTCAGCATACGCCTGGGGGGAGAGGGGCGGCATCCAATTCAGCATACGCCTGGGGGGAGAGGGGCGGCATCCAATTCAGCATACGCCTGGGGGGAGAGGGGCGGCATCTCACCACACCACCTCCCTCGTCCTTACTCCTCCCTCTCCCCTCCTGAATGTTCTTCTTCTCTCCCTCCTCCTCTCCCCACCCCACCCTCCTGCCACTTCCCTCGCCCCAGCCCACCCACCTGTCACGACAGCATCCAAGTCAGCACCGTGGGGGGAGGGGGGCGGCACCTCCACCACCTGCCTCCCTTTACTCATCCCACCCCCTACCTACTTGCCACTCCCCTCTCCCCTCTCCCCTCCCCACCCCAACCCACCTGTCACAACAGCGTCGAGGTCAGCATGTGCCTTGGGGGAGAGGGCCGGCACCTCCACCACCTCGGGCATGCGCGACAGCTGCTGCAGCCACCGCACCTGGGGGAGGGGGAGGAGGGGAGGGGGGGGAAGGGGGAAGAGGGAAGGGGGGGTGTGGGGAGGGGGGTTGTTGGAGGCCGGAAGGGCAGGCAGGGGGGGGAGGGAGAGGGGCGGCACCTCCACCGCCTCGGGCATGCGCGACAGCTGCTGCAGCCACCGCTCCTGGTGGGGGGGGGGATCGGTGGGAGGAAGGGGTTGGGGACCGCAAGGGCAGCGCGGCATGAGGGGATTGGAGGGTTGAGGGTTTTGGGAAGAGGCTGGAGGGAGGGAGGGGATGTGTGTGGGGGGGGGGGGGGGGGAAGAGAGAAGAGGCGGGGCGAGGGGGCGAGGAACGCGGAAGGGGGGAAAAGCATCAGTTTACTGTAGTAACATCAGCAATGCGTGCTAATCTAATGCTGCCCCTCGCTACTATCACGCACCTCCACAAGCACGCGGAATCGAATCAGACCAAACTCGCTGAAGATGCGGCGGAGCCGCTGTAGCGCGGGAAGCCGCCCGTAGCGCCCGTCGACGGGGGAGATCGCCGTCAGATGCGACACGGGGAGCGGCTCTTCCTTCTCCGCGCCCGTCGCTCCCGCCTGCTGCGCGCGCGACTCCGCGGATTGCGAAACGGCGGAGGGCGGAGCGGCATTGCGAGCTTGGCGAGATTTCTCCCCGTTGAAGGAAGCGCTGGCGGTGGGTGTGACTGTAACGCGGGTGCGCGACGAGAGCACAGGGAGCGACGCCGGTCGAACGGTGAGTGTATCGCGGGCGCGAGTATAGGAGCGAAGGGAAATCGGGCTCGTGAGTAGCTGGCGGGAAGAAATAGCCTCCATTGCGTGAGGTTCTTACAAAGGGAGGAAGATATGAGGGGGGAGGAAGGGTTCTGGCGCTGAGGCTGATCACAAATGGAAAATGTGAAAGTTAGAAAGTGGCTATCGTTTAGCTGGATTTGACGGCTTTTATCGCGTATATCATAACTGATGTAATTGGGCTAGACGCAAACACTTTCAAAGGGAGCATAACTGGTTGGTACAAGTCGAAAAACTACGAGGCTCCTAGACGCATCATAACGCGTATATATACGCTGGCGTGGCCACCTAAGAACGGCTTTCCAGAGCTGTCGTGGCACCACGCGATCCCTTCATAACATCACATGTTACCCAATCAACGCACACCAATTCGTTTGGCGCGTCCTTGGTTTCCTCAACGGAATTCTTCACCGCGGCTCACCACGCCATAAGCACAGCTCTCGTCGTGCCGCGCGTCAGCCGCGCATTCTTACCTCGGAACCAAGCTAGTGTTCTGTTCGGCTCTCAACTAAATTCACACTTTCGTGACGTGAAGGTCTCTATTCACACTTTCGCGAAAGTCTCTGTTCACACTTTTGTGAAGGTCTTTATTAGAACTGAGACCGAATACTCGATTTCCACGGTACATACGTCTTGCTTTCCTGCTCATTTACAACCCTGCGTCACGAGCGTCGTTTTTTTTTATTCTCCGAGCTCATCATGGCTGCCACCGTCTCCTCCGCGTCCACCACGCGATTCCGACTCGCGCGCACAGCTGCGGCCCGAATCTCCGTGCCGGCCGCGATCGCCGCATGCCGCCCAGCAGTCGCGGCGCTTCCCCCCCCACAAATTCCTGTGCTCAGGCGAGCCGCGACAGTGCCGACTTTGTCTGTAGCCGTTACTCCTAGTCCTAGACGCCCCGGCGGTAACAGTAGCAGTTCTCTTAGTAATGCTCATTCACTCATCGCGGCGCGCTGTGCCGCGTCGCCGTTCACAGGGCGCGTTGCTCCCGCCGATGATGGCGCGGCGCGCTCCACCGCAAGGCGGCTCCGTCGTTTCAGCGGAGCGACGGACCAAGGTCAGTGGCCCACCTGTCGCTTAGAGCGACGGCCCAAGGTCAGTGGCCCCCCTGTCGCTTAGAGCGGCTCACCTGTTACTTGTAGTCAACCTCACCCGCCGCTAGCGCCGCTTACCACTCCCCCACTCCCCTCTCACCCCGCCATTGTCCCCCTTCCACCCTCCCCATTCCCCCTCTCCCTTTTCCATTCCTCCACGCTCCCCCTTCCCCATTCTTTCCCTCCCATATTTCTCTTTCTCCCCCCCTCACCCATCTCCCCCTCGCCCCCTTCACAATTTCCCCACTCCCCCCCCTCTCCCCCTCCCCCATTTCCCCTTTTCCCCCTCTCATATCCTGCCGCCGCCCCTCAGCAAGCCCGGTGCAAGCGGCGACGGCGGAGGAATCAGAGGGCGACACGTGGCAGCTGAAGCTGCTGTACGATGGCGACTGCCCGCTCTGCATGCGAGAGGTGTGCGGATGGGGGGGACGGGGGAAGGAGGAGGGGGGGATGGGGGGGAAGGCGCGCGCATGGCGGATGGGGGGGAAGGGAGGGATGTGGAGGGTTTGAATGCTCGAAAAGTTGGGGCGGGCAACTGGGCCGGGCAGATGGTGATGGGCGGGCAAATGGTGATGGGCGGGCAAATGGTGATGGGCGGGCAAATGGTGATGGGCGGGCAGATGGTGATGGGCGGGCAGATGGTGATGGGCGGGCAAATGGTGATGGGCGGGCAAATGGTGATGGGCGGGCAGATGGTGATGGGCGGGCAGATGGTGATGGGCGGGCAGATGGTGATGGGCGGGCAGATGGTGATGGGCGGGCAGATGGTGATGGGCAGGGAGGGAGGGAGGGGTGGGTGTGGCACCCGCGTAATCACCACGTGGCCTTGCAGCAGGGCCTTCCAGCAGGGCCTTGCAGCAGGGCCTTGCAGCAGGGCCTTGCAGCAGGGCCTTGCAGCAGGGCGGCAACAGGGCGGCAACAGGGCGGCAACAGGGACGCAGCTGTGGGTGACACTGGCCCCACCCCACCCCCCTGCCCTTCCCTTCTAGCCCCTGCCCTTTCCTCTTTGCACGTGGCCTTCCTGCAGGGCCCCAACAGGGGGTACGGAACGGAACGCTCAAGTTTGTCGGCAAAGCTGAGATTGACATGACCCTCGCCCTGCCCCTTCCCCCCCCTGCCCCTTCCCCCCCTGCCCCTTCCCCCCCTGCCCCTTCCCCCCCTGCCCGTTCCCCCCCAGCCCCTTCCCCCCCTGCCCTTTCCCCCCTGCCCCTTTCCCCCCTGCCCCTTCCCCCCCTGCCCCTTCCCCTCCTGCCCCTTCCCCCCCTGCCCCTCCCCCCCTGCCTCTCCCCCCCCTGCCCGTCCTCCCGCCCCTATGCAGGTGGACTTCCTACAGGGTCGCAACAAAGAGTTTGGCACACTCAAGTTTGTGGACATAGCGGCGGGTGACTACAGCGCGGATGAGCATGCGGGTGTGTCGTACGAGGCGGCTATGGGGTCGATTCACGGGATACGAAGAGATGGAACCGTGGTCACTGGCGTGGAGGTGTGTACAGATGGGTGCCGCGGGGTATGCAGTGCAGCCTGCAGCCTGCAGGAGGGTGGGGTGGGGGTGAGAGTGGGAATCGGGGCACAGTGGACGTATGAGGCGGCTATGGGGGAGATTCACGGTATATCAAGGGATGGCACTGTAGTCACTGGCGTGCAGGTGGGTGCAGATGGGTGCAGAGGGGTCTGGGGTGCAAGTGGGTACCGGGGTACAGCAGTCGCATGAGGCGGCTATGGGGGAGATTCACGGTATGTCAAGGGATGGCACTGTGGTCACTGGCGCGCGGGTGGGTGTGGGATGTTGATGGGTGGGGGTGGAAGGTTGTGCAGCCTGCAGGTATGTGAGGAAGGAGAGTGTGAGGCGGCAGGAGAGTGTGAGGCGGCAGGAGAGTGTGAGGGGCAGGAGAATTTGGGGGCAATGATTGTGGGGTGATTAGAGTGCGAGGGGGAGCGAGATTGAGGCAGATGAGTGCGAATGCGAAGTGTAACTTTCCCTTCCTTATCTCTGCTCCACCCCGCACCAACCAATCGCAGGCCTCTCGTGAGTTCTACGAGGCGGTGGGCCTCAGGGGGGGTGGGTCTATGCCATCACGAGGTTCCCTCTGCGCAGTGCACGCAGTCTCACCCGTGTAGTCACTATCCCTCCCTCTCTCTGCGCTGTCTGCCCCGCACCGACCAATTGCAGGCCTTTCGTGAGTTCTACGAGGCGGTGGGCCTCGGGTGGGTCTATGCCATCACCAAGTTCCCTCCGGTATGTCTCCTGTCCCGCCACCATTGCTCACCTCGCCACCATTGCTCACCTCGCCACCATTGCTCACCTCGCCACCATTGCTCACCTCGCCACCATTGCTCACCTCTCCACCATTGCTCACCTCTCCACCACCATCGCTGCTCCGTCCTGATCAATCTCTTGGCAACTTGAGGTGCCTCATACGGCCTTCCCCTCCCATCCCGCTTTTGAGTCGGCTCAAAAGCTTCTTGAGGTGCCTCATACACGTGCTTCCCCTCCCATCCCTCACTCTCCACCCTCCACCTGCTGTGTGTCAGCTGGGAGCTCTGGCAGACGGAATTGATGAGGTGTGAGCTCCTCATCACTGGTCTCATCTTGATCCGCCCGTCTTGTCTCCGCTTTCCCTCCCTTTTTCCCCTCCCATCCCTCGCTCTCCACTCTCCACCCGCGGTGTGTCAGGTGGGCGCTCTTGCAGACGGGATCTACGAGGTGTGGGCCAAATACCGCCTGCCACTCTCAGGTAGGTGTGGGCCAAATACCGCCTGCCACTCTCAGGTAGGTGTGGGCCACATACCGCCTGCCACTCTCAGGTAGGTGTGGGCCAAATACCGCCTGCCACTGTCAGGTAGGTGTGGGCCAACTACCGCCTGCCACTCTCAGGTGGGTGTGGGCCAAATACCGCCTGCCACTATCAGGTAGGTGTGGGCCAAATACCGCCTGCCACTGTCAGGTAGGTGTGGGCCAAATACCGCCTGCCACTGTCAGGTAGGTGTGGGCCAAATACCGCCTGCCACTGTCAGGTAGGTGTGGGCCAAATACCGCCTGCCACTGTCAGGTAGGTGTGGGCCAAATACCGCCTGCCACTGTCAGGTAGGTGTGGGCCAAATACCGCCTGCCACTGTCAGGTAGGTGTGGGCCAAATACCACCTACCACTGTCAGGTATGTGTGGGCCAAATACCGCCTGCCACTGTCAGGTAGGTGTGGGCCAAATACCGCCTGCCACTGTCAGGTAGGTGTGGGCCAAATACTGCCTGCCACTCTCAGGTAGGTGTGGGCCAAATACCGCCTGCCACTGTCAGGTAGGTGTGGGCCAAATACCGCCTGCCACTCTCAGGTAGGTGTGGGCCAAATACCGCCTGCCACTCTCAGGTAGGTGTGGGCCAAATACCGCCTGCCACTGTCAGGTAGGTGTGGGCCAAATACCGCCTGCCACTGTCAGGTAGGTGTGGGCCAAATACCGCCTGCCACTGTCAGGTAGGTGTGGGCCAAATACCGCCTGCCACTCTCAGGTAGGTGTGTCCAAAATACCGCCTGCCACTGTCAGGTAGGTGTGGGCCAAATACCGCCTGCCACTCTCAGGTAGGTGTGGGCCAAATACCGCCTGCCACTGTTAGGTAGGTGTGGGCCAAATACCGCCTGCCACTGTCAGGTAGGTGTGGGCCAAATACCGCCTGCCACTGTCAGGTAGGTGTGGGCCAAATACCGCCTGCCACTGTCAGGTAGGTGTGGGCCAAATACCGCCTGCCACTCTCAGGTAGGTGTGGGCCAAATACCGCCTGCCACTCTCAGGTAGGTGTGGGCCAAATACCGCCTGCCACTCTCAGGTAGGTCTGGGCCAAATACAGCCTGCCACTCTCAGGTGAGTGTGGGCCAAATAGTGCTCACAAAACTTGAGCATGGCAGTTATGTGGTTACCTCATGCACCTCATGCTATGCGCTGGCTTGTATACGCTTATGTCTCTTATTAAGGCACCTCATCAGCGTCGTATACAGCTATCTATATTGAAATCCTGGGATGTTGATGAATGTGTCTACTTTTGAGGTGCTTCATAGGTTATTCGTACCTCTCATGCTTATACTCCTGCATCTCTGTGTGTGCGTGCGTGCATGCATGCGTGCGTGGGTGTCTGTGTGTGTGCGTGCTTGCGTGTCTGTGTGCGTGTGTGCGTGTCTGTGTGTGTGCGTGCTTGCGTGTCTGTGTGCGTGTGTGCGTGTCTGTGTGTGTGTGTGTGTGCGCGCACACTGCATCGGGTTCTTGACAGGCCGGCCGTCTTTGCAAGCTGTGATAGAGGAGCGCAGACGCAACAAGGTGGGCTGCAGTGTAACCCCTCTCGAATTGCTGCCCTGCATTCGTCTTGTCTTAAGAATGTTGCCGACTCAAGAATTTTGCCACCCGTGCTTGCTCAACCCCCCCCCCCATCTCCCATCCCACCCCATTCTCGCATGCGTGCCCTTTTGCTCTCTGTGTGTAGCAAGGCATCTCTTTTCTGCAATTGTCAGAACTCGCATGCTTTTTAAAGATCGATCCCCGACCCCAACCTGCATCTTCATATTTTCCGGTTTCATCCACCTTCGCTGGCTTACCTGTCGAACGGTACCTTCTTCCCCCCCCCCCCCCCCCCCCCCCCCCCCCCCCCCCACTCCCCACCCCCCCCACCTCCCACACACACACCCTTGCTGTGCAATATCCCAGCTCGGTGTGCAACGGTGCAAGGAGGAGGAGGAGGAGTGCAACGTGAAGTTTTAGCAAGGTTGATGTGATTATGCCAGCAGTACATCATTTTTTCTATCAATGCAAGACCCTCCAAATCCATTCTTTAGTTCTCGTCTCACATAATTACCGTTTTTGCATAGGGACTGGGCTCTAAACACTTGTCACAACAACAGTGGTCAACACAGCAGCAAGTTTTTGAGATGTGACGAGTTATTCTGAATCGTTACCCAACAGCGAGACGATGGTGTTATCACCGATCTGCATTGCACCGCACAGCGCAAGCACAGTCCGCCTTTCCTGCATGAGCACAGTGGCGGCAACTACATAGCTTGGTGGCAATTGTGACCACTGTGTCACCTTTGTTCGAGTCGACTCAAAGGTGGGGATGTAGTGAGAGGAGGAGGAACCAACCTTTATGGCAATTCTGAGCTGCACATTCCTTTGGGAAGAAACGATGGAAGTGGTTTTCTCGCTCTTCCCACCGTCCCTATCCAGAATCACCTGTCCACCATCTCCTGTGACCTGTACGGCATCATTACTTCATAAATATAATAATGTATATAAATGTTATATTATGTTATAGATCATGCATGCATCCCATCACTTATACTTAGTCCCTAGGCTCCCCATCATTCAGGAAGAACATCTCCAGTGGATCCACGGTGTAGATTCCACCTCCAGCCGCAGTGTCCCCCAAATGCTGCTCATCTGCTGCATATGCCGACCCTGCCGCATCCACAGCCTCTCTCCCAGCCTCCAATCCCTCTCCTGCCCCTCTCAAAAGCTCCATAAAGGGGACGGAGCAGCCATAATTCTCGCAACTGAAACATGCTGTCCTGTCGATGCGAGAGAACGGGGTGGTGGCGAGGTCCCCACCAGCAGCAGCTGCTGTGCGTTGAGGGAGGCAGGAGAACGGGGTGACGAGGTTCCCCGCAGCATCTGCAGTGGGGTGTGTGTCTTGAGCCTCTAGAAACAACCAACCTGCTGCGCGGTCAGGCAGAGAAAGGTCCAAACCTGCTGTGGTGTTATGCTGGAGGGCACACAGCTCGTCAACACAGAGACTTTCCAGAATAGGCTGCTCAGAACTTGGCTGGTCCGAACTTGGCTGGTCCGACGAACTGGGCTGTTCTGCACTAGACTTGTCCAGACTAGGCTGGTCCGAACTAGGCTGTTCCTCCTCACTAGGCTGTTCCACATTAGAGTGCTCCACTATAGAGTGATCCGCACCACCGCCAATGTATACAGCCCCAGAGCCTGCTGCTGTGACTTCCTGCATCAAGACATCTCCACTGCTGCTGCCAGCACCACCATTCACAGTGCTGTCGATTGTTGCTCTCCCAGAGGCGGCATCATCCGTGGCTTTAAACTCACCCTGCTCTGGGTGATTGGATCGAGGCAATCTGGCAGGACTGTGGAAGATGGTGGTTGGAGAGACGAGGGGAGTGAGGACTGCAAGGCCAACAGCATTGTAGGCAGCAGTGCCGGCAGCAGCAGAAGAGCCGGCAGCAACGCCGGCAGCAATGTGGGTAGCAGCTGCAGCAGCGGCTACAGCGGTGGAGGTGATTGCAGCAGGCGGTATGGGAGGAAGAGACAGACTGCGAGGCGGGATTTGGGTGGACTGAAAAGGTGTTATGAGGGGGAGGGACTGTATGAGTGGGGCTTTCTGATACTGCTGCATCTGCTCTTGTTGCTGCATCAACTGCAACTGCTGATGTAGCTCTGGCTGCGGATGCTGCTGCTGCTGCTGCTGCTGCTGCCACTGCTGTGGCTGAGCCATCTGCGGTTCCACCAGCCACAGCCTCTGCTGCCCTTCCACATCTCTGTGCTGCTGCTGCTGCTGCTGCTGCTGCTGCTGCTGATGCGGGGACACGTGGCCATACCTGCCAGGCTGCTTGTGAGGCAAATCGTAAGGCACGTGTCTGAACCTGCTGGTATGCACCACCCGTGGTCGCTCTTCCAGATAATTCGGCAACCCTTGGGCGTAATTTCTGGCTGTCCTTCCTGGTTGGTACGTTCGCGCACGCAGCATTCCCCTGTCCAGCTGCCCCGCTCCAATTCAGCCCTGTTCATGCGACCGAGATTGTCTGAACCTGTGCATGGGGGAGTATGGTTCTGTTGGGAGAGAGCAGGGTGGGTTGGATGGAAGCCCAACCACACCAGCAACGCCAACAGGTCTGGTGAACCCAGCAGCACTGGTAACATGAGCACCGCCAGTAGCACCAGAACCACCTGCCATATCAGGAACACTGGCAGCACCAGAAACACCAGCATGGACAACACCAGCAGCAGCGACACCAGCTCCAGCAACACCAGCGCAGACAACACCAGCACCAGAAACACCAAAACCAGCAATACCAGCATCAGCGACACCATCACTGACAACACCAGCACCAGCGACACCAGCAACACACGCAGAACCAGGAGCGCCAAGAACACCAACAGAACCAGAAGCACCGGCATCACGAGCAGCAGCAGAAGCAGCGGTATCACCAGCAGCACCAGAAGCAGCTGCATCACCACCGGCAGCAGCACCACATGATATACCAGCAGCACAGGTAACACGTCCACTACCCGCACGTGCACCTGCTGGAGATACGGCATCCATAGGACCCATAGCGCCCGAATCACAACCAACACCAGCACCACTTGCACCACTTACACCACCAACACCACATGTGTTTTCCACACAAGGCTGGGAATCAGAGGTCGCAGCACTGAGGACCGGTGGCTTCAGGGGGAAAGAGACGCTGTGGCTCCGAGAAATAAGTGGCGCAGGTTTGGAGTGAGGCTTGTGATGAGGCTTGAGTCGAGGTTCGGACCAAGGAGGGCTGGAACGCTTGGAGATTGGGTCGTCATTTTCCAAGTCTGGGGTGTGGTTCCTGCTATCCTGGAATGTCTGCAGCTCTATACTGTCCTCCATGAACAGAGATTCCTGAACGAGGTCTGCAAAAGCACACCGTGCAGCTGCCTTGCCCCTCCTGCGAGCCTTCAGATCGAGAGAGTTGCGTCGCCGGAAGCTTGGCGTGAGGTACTGCTGCTGCTGCTGCTGCGCGCAAGGACTCAAAACATCAGAAGATCCAAGGGACATGGTAGAAGCATTCTGCATGCCATGGCCGTATCAACCAAGTGGCATAAATGGGGGCATCATGACAGGCGGATACCGCATCGTTTCAGCATGCCAGCTAGGAAGCATGCTTGAAGCTGTACCTGCCATGTTGGGAACCTCCACTGCCGCCGCCCCCTCCACCCTCGCCACCCCTTCCACCCCCTCCACCCCCTCCACTGCCTCCGCCGCCTCCTCTGCCTCCTCTGCTTCTTGAAGGGATGCGTCCCCACCAGCCATCACCACTTTCTCAGGCACCCCAACAATGAACCCCCTATAGCCTGCATGTTGCAATGCTGCCAACGCTTGTTCCCCTGACACTGCATGCTGCCCTGCTGCCGATGCTTGCTGCCCTGTTGCCTTCGCCTGCTGCGCTGCTGCCATCGTCTGCTGCGCTGCTGCCATCATCTGCTGCCCTGCTGCCAGTGCCGAGAGTCCTACAGGAGTTCCAGTCTGCTCCACACCCGACAAAACAGACGGATTCGCTACCGCACCTGCCCCTTGGTCCTGTTGACCCTCTTGACCATGTTGACTCTGTTGACCCTGTTGACTCTGTTGACTACGTTGACCCCGTGGACCCCATTGACCCCATTGACCTTTTTGACGTGGGTGGTGCTGCTGTGAGGATTGACCTGATGCTACAGAGTGCCCCTGAAGTGACATGCTCTGTTGGTTTGCCTGCATTTCTGGAAACCTTGGCATCATGTAGTTTTTGTTACCACCCTTACAACAAAATAACCGCTCCTGACGCTTCCTAAACACCAAGTTAGCTGTACTATCAGATATGCTTTGCATTATGCAGTTACCACTACCATTTTTACCTTCAAAACCCACAGAACTTCCTTGCTGTCCTTCCGTCTCTATTGTTCTCTGATTTGACAAGCCTTGGTTTGAAGGACTGGTTTCATTAGCCTCAGTTTCAGGAAGAGGTGTGGTAGCTGTAGATTGTTGGGGTTGTGTGGAGTTGGGAATAGCAAGAGGTGAATCTCGCTGCTGCAACCGTTGCTCCTGCTGGTGTTGTGTCAGCGACAGTGGCAATGGCAGCGGCAGCGGCAACAAAAAACGTTCTGTCGGCTGTTTATGCTGCTGCAACCGGTGCTCCTGCTGGTGTTGTGGCAGCGGCAGGGGCAACAGCAACAATAAACGTTTTGTCTGCTGTTCTTGCTGCTGCGGCTGGTGTTGTGGGAGCGGCAGCGGGAGCGGCAGCGGCAACAACAAGCGTGCTGTCGGTTGGTACTGCTGCTGCTGCTGCTGCTGCTGCTGCTGCTGCTGCTGCTGCTGCTGCTGCTGTTGCTGCTGCTGCTGCTGCTGCTGCTGCTGCTGCTGCTGCTGCTGCTGCTGCTGCTGCTGCTGCTGCTGCTGCTGCTGCTGCTGCTGCTGCTGCTGAGAGTGGCAGCTGATAGTGGTGTTCACTTGCCACCCATTCATCACGAGAAGCAAGACCATCAAAATGCCCATCTATTCCTGGAGCCCCCCGGCTAGATTCCTCATCTGCATGACACCCTCCTCCTCCATCACCCCTTTCTTGCCGGTAGTCCCTATGCTTCCACTGATATTTTCCTCTGCAGATACCTCCCACGCTTCCGCTCCCTCCTTGCCTTCCATTGCACCAAACCCACTTCCACCAGTTGCATTGGCTTCTTCAACCCCCACGAGCTGGCAAGGGAACCTCTCCGCAAATGCATAGGATTGCCCCCCTTCACCTGCTGTCAGACCGTAGAATCCCAACCCTTCAAACCTGCCTGAATCTTCTCCCGGCACATAAAATCTTGGAAGCCCACTCCCATCTACTCCAGCACACGATGGATCCTGCTGCTGGCTGGAACAGCATCCCATGGTAGCACCACCAAGGGTTGGTGTGATAACAGAGGAAAGCAGTACACCAGCATAACCTGGACACGGGACCGGGAGCGGAAGGTTGGTGAGTGCATTTTCAGCGACATACATAGCAAGAAGGGTGGAGTGTAGGAAAGAGGCAGATGTGAAAGGGGCTGAGTTGACAGGAACGGAGGAGTATAGGAAAGAGGCAGAGGCAGAAGCGGCAGAGGAAGGAGGAAGAGAGGAATGAAAGAGAAGGGCAGATGTTGAAGGAGCAGACATTGCAGGAAGGGTAGAGTGCAGGAGAGAAGACGAGGTGGAAGAGGAGGCGGATGGGGCAGAGGAGAAAGGGGCGGCTCTGCTGGAGCTGTTTCTGCTTATAGCGGAGCTTCCTTCAGCGGTGTATGCCGGTCCTGCTCTACTCCCACTAGCACTGACCGCTGATGCCTCTACTGCTACGCATACCCCTCCTACTCTTGCTGCCGCTGCTGCTGCCCCTGCTGCTGCTCCTACTGCTGCTCCTCCTCCTCCTCCTCCTCCTCCTCCTCCTCCTCCTCCTCCTCCTCCTCCTCCTCCTCCTCCTCCTCCTCCTCCTCCTCCTCCTCCTCCTCCTCCTCCTCCTCCTGCTGCTCCTCCTCCTCCCCCGAAACCTACACCTGATCCTGTAGCAGCCGCTGACACTGACCTACTTGTTCCCTCGCCAAACAGATTCATCTCGGACATGTCCACGACCGCCCATCGCCCTTTTGCAGCATCTTCATCACGTGCTGCTTCTTTCCCTTTCCCTCCAGCTCTACTAGAACCGCCCTCTCCAGCCCCTCCTAGAGATACCCCATTCCTCAGCATCCCTGGGCCACTACTCTCACCACCAGCCTCCCTTCCCGTCGTCTCCATCTTATCCGCCGCTTCGAGTTCTCCCTTTTCCTTGATAAATTCCTCTGGAAAGTTAAGCTTTGCCGTGGATCCTTGAATGTTGAAAGCAGCTTCATCAAACGACCGAGCAGCCTCCTCTGCAGATCAAAACGTGCCCAGCCACCTGCGGACCCCATGAGTGGTGTCTTTAATCTCTGCGATGTAGCTGGACGGCCCACGCTTCCTCACTCCCCTATACTTCCCTTGCGGGTTGTAGTTTCGCTTGCGCGTCAGTGTCCTGCGCCTGACTCCAGACTCCGATGGGTTTGCAGCAGCGGCAGCCTCATCTTGTTCCATTTGTTGGTGTAAGTGTGGCTATAGCAGTGTAGGTGCAAACTGCTGTGGCATTAGCTGTTGCTGCATCTGCTTCTGTCGCCGAAACTCAATCCGTGGCATCTGCTGTGTCAGCTTCCCCTGTTGCATCTGCTGCTTTTCCAATACTTGCTGCTGTTGGCCGTGCTGCCGTTGCATCTGCTGTGGTTGAATCTTCTGATTTTGAATCTGCTGCTGTTGTATGTGCTGCGGCATCTGCTGCTTTGGTGACTGCTGCTGAGGTGGCATAATCTGCCCCTTTGTAACTGCTCTCTCGGCATTCTCAGCCGTTCTGATGCAGCCCCTAACCCAACTCGCCTTGTTTCGTGTTCTTGTCCATGTTCCATAACTCCACCATATTCCATGCATCTCGAAAATTGGGAAAAGACCAACTCACCCCCAATGGTACCTCGGGGCTATCTACACAGCTTCACGCAAAGTCGACCCAATCACAGCCCAAAGTTACCAGTTGCAAAGTGCACCGCAAATCTCATGGAGGGTTGGCTGGGTGTAATCCAACATATTTTTTTGTCCTTTTCCCGAATAGATTCTCTTATTAAATTCCACAAAGATATGAGGAGGCGTTTGTTCCCGGATTCAGCAAAAAGCAAAATAATTATTTTATGAGGAGAAAAAAATACTGCATCTTAGACTTTAGTCTGACTAGAGCACATTTGAAGGGCCAACAAGTTTGGGAGTAATCTAATTTTGCAGCCGTCATAGTCGGCTGAAGGGGTGATAACTTGTGGGGTTCATCGTTAAGCTGTACTGGCGGCAGCATCGCATCATCCACGTGATCAAAGTCCGAAAAGAGGAGCTTTGTCTGCCACCACAGCAGCATATGTCTACGTGTCATTTCCTGCCAGAGAGTTTTCTATACTGTGGTACTACGACTGTTATGGGGTATTGAGATCATTGCACGTTTGGATTTGCTTTGTTGCTCGGATTTGCTCTGTTGTTAAAGAACTTCTCAGCCGGGAAGAGAGCAGAACATCATGTGCTGGACCTGTGGCTGTTTGTGCCTCGGTTTGATACACTTAGGGCGTATCTTCGGTTCGGGTCATGGACTGTTTGGGTCATCCGAGATTCTTGGAAGACCAATCAGGCGCATTTTAGTGAAAATACTCGAATACCATTGGTCCTCCCATGACCCAAAGTGTACTGATGACCCGAAGTGGCCTTATGACCCGAACCAAAGATACGCCCTTAGTTGCAAGATTGTGGGAACTCTAGGGTTTCCTGAAGTATACCCCCCACTTTAATATGAAGCGTCCGAAATCACCTTTGTTTCGGAAAAAACCATAGTAGTTTGCTCGGCGGTGTGTCAAGTGCTGTGTTGTGCACTACCCTTGTGTGGAGTGCACTCATCCATAGGTGTGGTGATGCGACACCTCCTTCCTCACAGTTCGGAGGATAAGCTCTCTCGTGTTGCGTGTGGTTGGAGCGTAATGAACAGTATTTTCTCAACGAGCTCGTCCAGCAATCCCCACAGTCGGATCACAACATATGTCGCCATTAACAAGTAAACGTAATCGTGATCCATTGTCTTGTCGGACATGAACTGTTACAAACGCATTTGTCCAATTCATCCTAGAAATTTGAAGGTATGTATCGGCCACGTTGCACAAAACAAAGTGTTACACACTGTTGCCTAACTTCCATGTACGGGTGGGATCTGGGCAATGCCTGGATTCGACACGGGCTGGCTGGATTTTTCACAATGACCTCTCCCACACCACCACCCACCCCTGCCTGAACCTCCCTCCCACATCAACAAAAAGTTCAGGTCCCAAAAGAGTCTTTCGGGCACGTGCCAAAGGCGAGTCTTCCAGGAAAAATTTGGGACTACCGATACACCCTCTTTCGCGCTACACTAACAATGAGATTCACATGCTACAGTGTGTACTGTTTCTTGGAACGTAGCGGTCTTGTGCTTACAGCCCAACTGCAGGTAGTGACGGGCAAGTGGACTCCTGGTGAACGGTACACAACGGTTTTCAGAAAACAACTTGCTTTTGGATACGGTTGAGTGCGAGCAAAAGTGTTTATATCAGATGTGCATGGACCATCCTGGACGCATTGATGTGTGCACATCCGATCGGTTCGTATAGCCATTGACAATGTAGCACGAAATAGGGTGTACTGTATTTGTCCTCTTCTACTGGATATTTGGGACGGTTGTGGGAGCTGGGATTTTGTGATACTCGATTTAATTCTTAACAGTTCTAAGCAGATGTGTGCGGAATGTTTAGGTCTGGAGCTGCGACCACGGGAATGGCTGTCAAGAACTTAGGTTCGACTCACACCTTCACAAGGGACCATGGTCAGCCACTTTCTAGAAATTTAGGGCTCTTTTCTGGTCAGCTCTAGCCCAATGCAGAAGAATGATTGTTGGGAAAACTTGGGAACATTCTCGAATCTCAGACGTTCCAAGTCTCTATTGGCCGCTGTCACTCCATGCTTTCACTCCAGGGCTAATTTTTCGTTTTTAGAGACCCCGATGCCTCCGGGGCCCCCACGTAAACATACGTAAAATTCCGAATCCGTAGAAAGGCCACCCTTTCTAGTCCGGGTTCTATCAAAGGGTACCCTGACTCAGTGTGTCTCTAAGAAACACCCTTTGGCCTATCGAGTCATGACTGCTACAAGCGAAGAGCGCACATGAAGTAGTGTCAGTAGATCTGCACTGTGGATGCCCGATTGATCCTGGAGAGGGTTACAGGCGCGTTCGCCTGGGGGTTATGGGCGCACTGACCCGCTACTGAAAAAAAGCCCTTTTATCCCAATGGTCTAGTGGTTGGGATTCTGACATGGTATCAGAGTGGTCTCGGGTTCGTATCCCGGTGTATGCACATGTTGGCCGTTGCCGCTGTGCTTAGTCCTGGGCCTCCCAGTGTGGGGGGGTGTCAGTAGATCTGCACTGTGGATGCTCGATTGATGTTGGAGAGGGTTACAGACGCGTTCGCCTGGGGGGTTATGGGCGCACTGACCCGCTACTGAAAAAAAAAGCCCTTTTATCCCAATGGTCTAGTGGTTGGGATTCTGACAAGTAGTACTCGAGAAGAGCACACATTTATTAAAGTTCCTAAATGTCCCTAACTATGTAACATCACCCACCTAGGTTCGACTGTGAGCATAGAAAACGCAAGTCAATCCTGCAGTTGTACTACAGCTGTTCGGATCGCAGATGCGTCTCACTCAGGGACAGGACCATTCGATTCCGGCACGAAAGGTCTTAAGGGTCGCCCTTAAGCATCCGGATGTCTCTTTGAGGAATGCCCTTTAAGTGTCCGGATGTGTTGTTAAAATAAGCGAGAATGAGCTGAGTAGTAACTAGGGCCTAGGCTTAGAAGCCTAGGCCCAACTTAGGTATCGAGTGGGTTTTGCCTAGGGAGGAGAGAGTCGAGAAAAGTTGGAAAGGTAAAAAGGGGGTTTCACTTTAGGTTCAAGGAACATATAGCATAGGAAACACAAGGAAGAGGTGCACCACCTACAGATTTAAATAACTACACTAACTACAGCTACAGGCAGTTACATAATATAAGTTCTGACACTCCCCTATAACTGCCTGCAGCAGGAGTTTGTGTAGAATACAACCTGCAGGTGTACACATGCAAAATAATAAAGAACAAGCAACAGCAAGAACTGCAGGCGGGCTGACACAAGTAGGTCACCCCCTCCATCTTCTCACCCTCCTCCTTCCCCTCCCCCACACTGCTGCAGGAGCAGCAGAGAGGGGGGGAAGAGAGGAGAGGTGGAGGGACGGCTGCTGGTTGCCTCACACCCGCCACCCCGGCGCCTCTCCCCCTGCTCCCCCACACCCTCACACCCTCCCCCCCAGCGGCAGCTGCAGCAGTGGGAACAAAAGGAGGAGGAGGGGAAGGGAAGGGTACGACCCACGACTCCAACACCCGCCATCCCCATACCCTCCCCCCCACGGCTGCAGGGAGATGAAGGAGGAGGGGGTGGGCGGGAAGAAAGCCGCAGAGCGGCTAGATAGGGTCGATGCAGGTAGGTCAGGGGCAGCTGCAGGGAATGCAGGTGCGGAAAGCACCGTCGCAGGCGCCAAGGGCGGGTCCGCGGCGGCTCAAGGGCACCGCCGCGGGCGCCAGGGGCGGGTCCGCGATGGCGCAGGGCACCACCCCAGGCGCCAGAGGCGGGTCCGCGGCGGCTCAGTGCACCGCCGCGGGCGCCAGAGGCGGGTCCGCGACGGCTAAGGTCACCGCCGCGGGCGCCAGAGGCGGGTCCGCGACGGCTCAGGGCACCGCCGCAGGCGCCAGAGGCGGGTCCGCGACGGCTAAGGGCACCGCCGCGGGCGCCAGAGGCGGGTCCGCGACGGCTCAGAGCGCCGTCGCGGGCGCCAGGGGCGGGTCCGCGACGGGTAGAAAAGAAAGACGTCACGCGCCCGAGGCACGCGACCATAAATTCAGCAGCGGAAGCTTTGGGCGGGCCCACAGGCCAGGACAAAACTGCTCTGATAACCATGTTAAAATAAGCGAGAATGAGCTGAGTAGTAACTAGGGCCTAGGCTTAGAAGCCTAGGCCCAACTTAGGTATCGAGTGGGTTTTGCCTAGGGAGGAGAGAGTCGAGAAAAGTTGGAAAGGTAAAAAGGGGGTTTCACTATAGGTTCAAGGAACATATAGCATAGGAAACACAAGGAAGAGGTGCA